TTTTAATTTCATCGATTTTATTTATCTTTTTTTTTGGCCTTTTTTTTTTTTTTTTTTTTTTTTTTTTTTGGGGGGGGGGTAATGACGCTATAGCTAGGCGACAACAACTTAAGTTATTTCCATGTCTCCGTGAACTCTAGGGAGAGAGAGATGTAATTTTAATTCAAATTGAAATAACTTGATAAATATGTCTAATGATTATACTATTCTTCATTTTTTCAGGTTAGCAATCACAAAGAACTGTGTTCGGGCACATGATATTCACTCCAAAGAGATGGCTGACTCAGAGCAAGTGCAGTGTCAATTTTGTAAAGGAACGTACAAAAAGAGAGGTCTGGCAAATCATCAACGATCCTGCAAACAAAAACCGCAGGACGTAAAACCTGGTCAGAGCAGCGGGTTGTCACCAGGTAAAGTTTCTCCTGCAGAAAAAAGTGATAAAAAACAATCAGAAACAGTGCAATGTGAATATTGCGGTAGAGCATTCAAGAAAGGGGGTCTGGCGACACATCAACGGTCTTGTGAACAAAAGCCACAGATTTCAAAACAGCACCGCAAAAGTAGCGATTTGCAAGCAAGCAATATTCTTCCTGTAGCAACCCCTGAACAAAAACAAGAACAATCAAACACCCGGCAGTGCCAATATTGCGGTGGAACATATACGAGAAAAGGACTTGCGACGCACCAACGAGCATGTAAACAAAAGCATGTGGACCACGGGGAAAATAGTGAAACTTTAACCGGCGGCAGTGTTTTCTCTGAAACAGTGACTGACCCGGTGCAAGCATATAATACACTTGCAACCTCTGAACAAGAACAAGAACAATCAAACACCCGGCAGTGCCAATATTGCAGTGGCACATATACGAGAAAAGGACTTGCGACGCACCAACGAGCATGTAAACAAAAGCATGGGGAAGACAGTGAAACTTCAACCGGCGGCAGTGTTTTCTCTGAAACAGTGACTGGCCCGGTGCAAGCATATAATACACTTGCAACCTCTGAACAAGAACAAGAACAATCAAACACCCGGCAGTGCCAATATTGCAGTGGCACATATACGAGAAAAGGACTTGCGACGCACCAACGAGCATGTAAACAAAAGCATGTGGACCACGGGGAAGACAGTGAAACTTTAACCGGCGGCAGTGTTTTTTCTGAAACACCTGGTGGTCATCGTTGCTATGAGGGACAGAAAAGTGGACTAGGATTAGGTAGCAGAAAGTCCATGTCACAGGTATAAAATATTTGTTTTTGGATAATTATTGTTTTTTCTTTTAATTATTGAAATGAACGTGACTAGGAACGCGGAACACGTATGGAATATAGCTTCACCAATATCTATTTATATGGTCTGTTTATATTTGCCAATGGCTATTTGTACTTAAAGGAGGTCAAACTATAAATTTTGTGCAATAGATGTAGCATCATGATTTTTTTTATTATTAATAAATAATGTACAACATTTGAGATGTTTACATCTCAACCTCAGGCGAATGTTTTGCAATGACCTTCCAATCAAGTAGTCTCATTTGTACATACGTAAATTAAATTTCATCACAGACAGGGGTTTATTTATTTAATCGTTCTTGAAATACACTTAAATTAGCAACATATCATAAAATATTTGTTTTGGCTAATTTACAGATCGTCAAAAACAATAACCCAGGAAGCTCGTCGTCAATTCCGTCTGAGATCGGCTCAGGTGCACTAAATACGGACTTGCCTCCAATACGCTTTTTGTCTCCGAAAGATCGGACTTTTCTTAACAAAGAGATCAAAAGCCCAAACATATGGCCTGTTATTGCCGCTGACATTAGATGGGATGGAAGCGCTGAAAGAAAGCGGGAGCCGTGTGACGTGGTCTTATCTGCAGTGGGTGAATCCTTTCTGGAAATGCTGAAATTATTTAGAAGGGTCGAGGCCAGAGCGCATGTTGACATGAAAAAAAGTTTGGAGATTATTTCTGTAAGTATGAGCAATATGGATGTGTTTGCAGTATGTATATAAACCTTGTCATTGTGTCCGTGAACATGCAATTGTGCCAGTTGTGAGCGTATGTGTTGGTGTGTGTTGTGTGTGGGTTTACGTTTTGTGCGAGAGTGTGTGTGTGTATGTGTGTTTGTGGTGTTGTGGATGTATGTGAAGTGGTATAATAAGTTTTACATTTTACACCGAATATACAGAGAAAATCTGAGGCACATTCTTAGCCATGTATAATGTAAAATACTGAGGAAACTTAAGCAATTTTCCTTTCAAGCTAAGGTATACGCAATCTAAAACCATTCACAGAAGGATCCAATATGAGCTCCAAATGTTGGAGTGCAATTCACAATAAGTCTTCATCTCCATTATGACTGACTCAAAACTCAAATACTAGAAACAGGTTCAAGGACCGTAATTCTGTGAACTGTTTTACATATATAATGTACCCTAAGCTTGTGATTAAAAGATAATCCTAAACGTTTCCTGAAAATTGAAATTTTGCTGCATGAAGACCTAACATTCATTGCCTGTCGTTATTTATCTACTTCTAACAGATAGTCACGATAGCAAGGCTATTTTACCAATATAAATTAATATTTTATTTTTAATTGACAGGATGCCCGCATCCTAGAAGCAAGGTACGAGAAGTTGAAACGTCACACCCATGAAATTGTAAACAGCGTTGACCCTAAGGATGTATATATACAGCTTTATGCTGATGGGATATTGACATTCCACGACAAAGACGAGATAGAAAGAGCTTGTACAAAGTCCATGCGGGATGGATGCACCATTTTACTGAATAAAATCTCTCTTTGTCCTGTGGAGAAAGACCCGATAACCAAGCTGTGCAATGCTTTGCGCGACCAGAACTGTAAAAGAATGGCAGACCTCCTTGAGTAGTCGTTAGATGAAATTGAACAAAAAAAAAGCCTTGACCATCTTTGAGAAAAGAGCTTTGTCCATCGATGAATACATTTGATAAATTCTAATGGATTATTAGGCAAAATAGTAATTAATTTCAAATTTGTATTTCAATAGTACGGTTATCTTTAAATGGTATTTTTGGTATTATACATCAATTTAGAAAAGGAAAAAAAATGCTTGAAATTCACTTTAAACATCGGTTTTTATTTTGTGGAAAAAAGATAGTGGGGTAATTTTGTGAATTTTACAGATACTGTATTTTCCAAGTCATAATTTCTTAAAATTAGAGCATTCCTATTGGATGGTACATGTTGCAACAACATTAAAAGCAAGCTACTCTATACTTCTTTTTTCTGCAGTAAAATCACCACAAATGCTATATAGAAGTATAATTTTTGTGATTATAAAATTATGCAACTGAAAATCTGATAATTTCTGCCCATTGAAAAGACTGAGTCATTATCGTATACTATTTTGTGGCATGACAGGGACCTTCCATTTTCATCTCATATTTGAAGTTCCTTAATGCATTACCATTATTACACTAAGAAAAAAAAAAGATTTGAAAGAAAAATATGCCCAAGCTTGTAATATTATTAGCAATACCAAAATTGTTAATTTCAATTGCTTGTGCCATTGTATAATTCTTAATCATTTGTAAATTAAAATGTGAATTATGTATATCAATCTTGCATGTATGAATGCTATGAATAAAATGTCATTTAGCCATAACGTATTGTTCAGAGCCCAAAAGATGTTTGCACTCACAGCTTCAAATTTAACTCTTAGCTAGCAAAACGTCAATTTTGTTATATTAACTTACTAATAGAGAATCAACAATGGCCCATCAGTAGCTAACAATGGCTTAACCAAACAAGCCATTCCTGTTAAATAATCAATGTGTTAATACATTACTTTTATATCATATGTAAACACGTATATTTTCTCTATCTTAAATCATAAAATTGAGGTACATATATAATACAGCAAAATGCTTTTTAGTTACACCAAAAATTTAGCAAATTTTTATGACTTAAGTTGGTCACACTAGCATTGACACCTTTATAAAACACTACCTGTAATTCATTTTGACTTTAAGTCATATTTTTCATAATTTGTTTTAGAAAAAAAATTAACTTTCCTTTTACTCTAAGAACTGGCTGACTGCATTATTCCTGAAAGGACATTGAACCCAATTTAACTGAATTAAACTCAACTCAAATATAGACTTGTCTGCTTTGTCCCTCTGTATATCAGCAAGTATTCACTGAATTCACCAACATTTTGACCTTTAATTATAGCCTACCACCAGTAATAAATACAGAGATTTAAGATCTTTAAAGTAAGACTAACTTCCTGCTTAATGTTTTGCAATTAAGCAAAAGTTTAAATTTTAAACTGACTTCTACATACAATTCTTGATAGAATTAACAAAATAAGAAATAATACTGTAATATCAGCACCAATGATAAATTATAAAATCGTTTTTTTATATTTATTAGTATTCCTAGCTCATATTATGACCCCCCCCCCCAAAAAAAAAATAAATAAATAAATAAAAAAAAAAAAAATTATGATAAATTAAAACAAAAATGTATGATAACACAGTTTACACATGTCAATTCACATGATAGGAATGTGCATTCAAAAATGTACGAGACTCGTACAAGTACGTAGTGATAAATGCTGGGAAGTCTCGCTTGGTGACTATCTCTTCAAATATTTCTGCTGCAGCCAAAAGTCTGTGCCTAGAGGGCTCAGAGTTGAAATCAAAGTGAGGGCTGAGCATGGTTTGTTGTACTAATTTCCCAATGGCCTCCCGAACCAGGTGTCTTGTCACTTTGACAGTGGTGCCCTCTATATAAGCCTGATGCTTGATCCACTGCCAAACCTGATGAAACAAGGCAAAATGCTATCCAACTACTCAATTGCCAAGATAAATGACAAGAAAATTAAATCCAAATTAATAAAAAAAAAAAAAAAACAGTTCCTGATCATAGAATCTTTTAACCTTTTCTGCAATGAAAATATTGCTGTCTTGAATAATTTCTTTAGCCTAGCTGTAACAAAATGCAACATATTAAAAAAAACCATAAACATGACTGTTTTACCTTTTGGAATGCACTAAGCTGAGCATCATTACATTCTGAATCTAAAAATGCACAGAAATGATCATTATGATAATTCTAAACACTGATAGGACCCATGCTTTTTTTTACCTGTGAGCGTGAAATTTCTGCTGTGGCTGAATCTTCCACACACCCTTTATAATAGAAATGCCCTTTTCCTCGAAGCCATGCTTCAATAAAGAGTACACCTACGCCGATGTTGTGCAGAAGACCTTCTTCTGTTACTCCTCCCTGTAGGAAAACAACTTAAATCTTTAAGTAATCTGATAAAATGACTCGCGTGGTCAGAAATTTTAAGTACACACTGGATTTTGATTTTTGAATTATTCACTACTTACTTTTCAAGAAAATGCCCTTTTTAACAACAGCTAGTTTACTGCATTTCAGGTTACTTTTCAATTTTTTTTTCAACATTTATAATTTCAATTTTAAAGTTATTAAGTAGTGCAATAGCTAATTCCTTTTGAATTATAACATGCCTTTCCAGCACAAAGAGGAATACCGTATGTATACTTGGAAAATACAAAGTTAATACTACTTGTAAAGACTGACCCAGCCACAAAATCAAGTTATAAAATTCATTCAAACAAAGTTCAACAAAAGTTGAGATATTTATCAACTTTGTCATGCATGAATTAAAAAAAAAATACTGATTGTTTTCCTTTCCAGGAGCTGTGTTGTAAGGCCACCCACAGATGCATTTTGCCATTGTGTTAGGTGTGACAGCTCAACCAACACATCTATACTCTAAACTGGTGAATGTTGTATGGCCTTGGATGTATTTTTGCATGAAAAAAATGAATGATGCTGTTCAAGTGGCACATATTTTTTAAAAATATCTTTAAAAAGATCATTTCTTAATTATTGAAGTTCTGCCATAAAGCAGTTTGTGTGACCTCCAACCAAGGTGAACCATTTCCTGGCCTTATCCAGCTGCCCTAAAGAAAGGAGTTGTTTTTCAAATCAGATGAACCGCAAGGACCCTGTTTTTCATAACAGTTACTAATGAGTGTCACAGACAATGTGACTGGGAGGTCTTTCCATAGCTACCAAGAAGGAAACTGTACCCACATAAATCGATATATCATACGTAATGAACAACCACAAATTATATCCTTTGTTTGTGGTTTTATAGAAACTGATTGAAAACTGAAGGAGAATTCAAAATGCATGTGAAAATGTGATAATGCTCATTTTTCTTATTTTGTAAAGAAATGAAAAAGAAAAACTGAACAGAAAAAGATAATCGCTGCACGGTTAAAAAAGGGTTTTATTTGTTTAAAGGTTCAATGAAACAAAACTTCAGGAGAAGATAATAAGACAAACTGTGGCCCCCAACTGAGCAGGAAAAGAAATAGACCAAGAGACAAGTCTATTAGCTTACAGTTCAAAACTAATGCAAACATGTAGATAACATATATGTTTAACTTGATTGTAGAACTAAAATCTTAAATTTCATGTCTGGGCTCCTTATATTTTTTGCAATCTTTTTTTTTAATTTCAAGAAAGTCAGTAAAAGAGTATCAACTACTAAGTAAACACAGTTGTATAATAATCAAGATGGTTTTCTGAAATCATTCAATTAAAATGCTAAATTAATTAACTGCATGAACATATATAAAAAAAAGTAATTTTCCCAGAATGAAACTTTTGACAGATAAATACCTGCCTGGCAATCTCAATTTTAGCATTGCCTGGTGACATGTAGTGACCTCTAGTGTGGCAGCATGGTGAATTTGGGGGTGTTACTGAAAAAAGCGTACCCACGCTCCCTGAATGCAGCACTTCTTTCCCATACTTTGTAGCAAGAGAGGTTCTGTAAGATGTTTTCCGCTGCATTTACTAAATACTTACAGCTGGCATTCTCAGCAAATCACCTGCGGTCACTTTCACGTCCATCCTCTTAACACCGTTCTGATTGACGCCAGGTGCAAAACGCTTAAATAGCTGGAATAATGATGTAACAGTTATATCAAAGTTATTATGAAACATGAACAATGGTAAACATGTTACAAAATCAAAGTCTAACTTCCTCTGCAGCTCATATTTTTGGGATATTTTTCAACAGGTTGCAGAATGGATAACATTTTGATTTTCCAGCTAGCCTACTACTTCTGGGGTATTTACTCGATTAGCTTGTGGTCAGCATGCCTATTTTCTCTTCTTGGCAGAAGTGGTTAGCTGTACATATATACAGGCTGTCCTTAAATACATCACTTTTCAATATGTGACAAGGTTTCTCAGTTAAATTTTTACTATTAATACCTATTACTTAATTCATTATCTACTTAGTATACATATTTCAACTAAATAAAATGTTTTTCAAAATCTAAGTTCTACTGATTACATCCATTTTTCTGTATGTCCAGACTTCTAGGGCATCCTATTTATAAACCAAAATTATCCAGTTATTTAGTGGACTTCTTTTTAATCACAGATAAAAATGAAGTTAAACTTTTTGGGGTTGGTTTCACAAAGAGTCTAAGGGCAGCTTTTGGGGCCTCAGTTCTTGATTAGCCTACTAAGATCCAGCTTACAAAGTTGCCTTTCACAACTTTTAACTAAGCCCCCTTGAACAAATTAAGATTGCCTTGAAGGAATTCACTCTCATTGGTGACAGTAACCAACTAAGGTCACCATACATACATATATATATAATATATATATATATATATATATATATATATATATATATATATATATATATAATTAAAATGCGGCCCTCCATAGGTTTCGTTTGCAAGCGTACAAAGGGAGAGTAACAGAAAACTTCTATATACAGGGCCATTAAGGTAGGCTTTTTTTTTTTTTCAAATTTTTCAAGTCAATCGTTCTAAAAACATCTTGGACATTAGTGCACTGGCTTTCCAATTTTACTAGACTAAGTCTAAACTTAGCACAGGAAAGAATTTTATGTGTGTGTTTGTTGTTGAAAAAGGACCTTGGTGTATGAGAGCAGTTATATGAAGAAAGGTTGGAGGTGCATAATTATATTGCTGGATAGAGACTTTGGTTTCATGTAAGAATGTTCATTTTCTACATTTCTCAATTGGAACAAAAGCTACAAACAGGCATAATGGTAGACATCAATATTAACCACGAGAATCTTATCATTGTTATTTCTCTTCGTCCAACTGAGGTAGGGGTGTACTGTGTCGTCATGAAAAATGCAGAAAGTCATTCGACAAATCTGGTAAAACTGTCGCAGACTTAAAATCACATTCAGCTGTTTTATTTTGAATGTTTAATTCTTTTTGATACTGGACAGTCCAGTAGAAAATCAACCAAGCCGTAGGAAATATTACTCTAAGAAGTTTTCATGTACTAAATCATTTCCCTTTTAAGGTCTTCTGTCCTAACTAACACTTACACTAGGTTAATCGACTTAATCACGAAGGTATTTAATCTAATTGACCTTTACAAATTACAGGTTGACAGACATTAACAAAATTTATCAGGAATTTTGGTATTAATGAGAAATTTGAAGTTCAAGTTCATTAACAAATTCCCGTGGCAGCAATCAGTGTTTTTCATAGAAACCAATGCCTAAAAGATTTCCGTGTATGCTCAATCAGCATATCTAATTTAACAGAGGACAATTCTCTAATTATCCAGAATAACACAGTAAAAGAGTAATTAACATGACATATAGAATGCATTTTAGGTTTCTACATCCTTAGAAACGCATGCACCGTGTTGACCAATCCATTTAATGAAGTAATCTAAATAAGCCAGACTCTGATAAAATAAATTAAGCAACCAATAAAATAGACCTTCAATGAGGTACTTAAAGTTTAAGCCTCATTAACACCCTAATTACTTAATGCAGTACAAGGGCACAAACAAAAAGTACTGATGTACCATTTAGCAGAAAACAGTACTCTACTATCTTCAAGGTACCCAGGTACTCAGCAATTTCAAAGATTGGGGGGTGGGGGTTGAAAAAGTAGACCTTTTAACATGAAACCTTTGTGTACCTGGATCAATTTTTACCCACAGAGCCTTTAGAGGTCAGCATATCAAAATTCAATTTTTCACCTTCAATTTGATTGTATTTTTAATCCCTTTCAAGATTGGGTTTCACAATCACCATCTTTTTCTCACTGGATAAAAGGTGTTTTAGTTGAACTCAAATATGTAGAAAATGTTGGGAATGTCCTTCTGCTGTTGCAGTGGCAAACCGCTGAAACTGCTACACACTGTCTGAAAAGGAAATTGGAATCCCACAGCAAAGATGACTAAATTCATAAGACACTAGACTTACCTCTTGCATGACTTTAACAAGGCCAACATCATACACCATGAAGCCGTCTACACCAGCATGTATCTCCTTCAATTTTGAACTGTAAAAAATAGTACAAGACAAACATTAAACAAGAATCCTCATGGTGTCTTTGTAATTTGCCAACTTTGGATTCAGAGCAATTTTTCATCAACTACACAAACCATTCACTACACTACTGGTCAATTTTACCTTAAAATATTCTGTTCTGCCAACATTGATTATACAAGTGCATAACAATATGTCCAAAGCATAAATGATTGTTGAAATAAAATTTACTCTACATAGAAGAGTGCAAAATGTTGATAGACTGAAATCTATGATTAAGTAAGATGTGTTCCATCCCCACATGCAACTTTAGCAGTAGAAATAATTACTGTCACAGTATCTTTTACAAAGGTTATTCTTCTTGTGTTTAGTTATTTTTTAATTTTTACTGGTAATTCAAAAATGCAATTTTCCATAAGACTAGGCTCTAGAAGTCAATAGCTCAACCCTGAAATTCTGAGGATACTGGAAGTCATTTCTACTGCCAGTCACCATATCAGGGACCTACGCAACTTCAGGGTGCCTTTGAAAATAAGTACTTGGTTTAACTATAATGTGAATTTTTGAACCCATTAAGAACAGCAGACTTAAAGATCCGCAGATCAAATGTGGCGGTCAACTAAAAAGCTTTCTGCTTAATTCCCCAATAGATGCTGAATAGATTCCCTGTGGGGATAACACAACAAGCATTCAAGTGGGTCAGCCATATTTGATCCACAGATCTGTTAGTGCTCTGTTCTAAATGTGCTCTTATAAAAATTTAGGAAAATGGAAAGAAAATTTATTGGTAATGCTTTAGTCTTAAATAACATGACGTCACATTATAATTTTCCTATGAAACCTTACCAGATGTACCTCAAAATGGTAAGTTACTCAAACACTATGAGTTCACCATTTTCTACCCCTCTCGTTTTTGTTATCTTGAAATAAAGTGTGACATCTAAGATTCAGAATAATATTTAAAAAAAAAAAAAAAAAAAAAAAAAAAAAAAAAAAAACTGATGCAGATATACAATTGCAATTTTATTCACAGTGTAAGCTACTACTGGTAAATCCTATTCCTAACCATGAAATCAAATGTATGTACCTTGCGGCTAGTTCAATCACCTGTTGCCTAGCAACCCAGTCATCTGGCAACAACAATGCTGACATACCCCCTGTAGCGTGACAACCACGTTTGTGACAAATTTGAATGAGAAGATCCATGTAGCTTTTCAAGAAGTGACGGTCCATGTTTACATATTTGCTGCGATCAGGCAGGACAAAATCTTTTCTTTGACCTAAAAATATAATTCCCATCACTGATATTATACTATGTATCAAACTTTTATAAAAGTATCATTCATTTATTTATTTTAGAACTAAAATAATACCTTCAAATATCTCAAATATCATCATTTCTGATCTTTAATAAAACATGTTTGTGCAAAGAGTCCCAATACATATTTTAATAACCTAAATATGATGAGTTTCATGATCTTTATTCAAATCATTTTGTCACCCTTAGTTAGAATTCACTTTGTATGCATCTACCCTTTTCATTTTGTGATGTTCTGCATTATGATGACAAAGGAATAAGATATTTCCTCTTGATAAGACACATAACTATTAGGTATTAGGGAAAGACAAAAGAAATACATCTGAAATATAAAAAAAAATTGCTCAATTCTATGAAATCTTTATGTTTCACTTCTATTTTGATTTATGACTGCAATTATAGTTTTAAGCAAATGCTGAAACAGTGTGAGAATCTCAGCTTTGGCTTCAAAGTGGCTTCAAACACACAGGTGTTTGGCTTTTATCAAGGTGTGAGGAAAAAAAACAACTCTCGTACATAATTCCAAATACTGCATAAAAAAGGTATTATATATAATGATGGTCAACCACAAGCAAAACCAGCCTGTGATGCTCTTTCTCCAAAAGGGTTTCATTTCACTAGAGTGTTTTTTCAAAAAGATCCTCTCATATTGAACCAGACTGAGTGTAAAACCTAAACATCATTCAGAAAAGGGTGTAAATAACATGACTGCATTTACCACAAGACACGTTTTCCAAACTTAAATAATAAGAATTAAATGAATCACAATGAAATATAGTTACTGTTACTGTAACCTTTATATAATTTCTATGATAAAAATATAACAGGAATTATACAGGCACTGCAAGGACTCTATGTATGTGATATAACAGCAAATAGCAACATTGGATTCAGGAGTCAGAATAAAGCAACACACTAATTATATATAATTTAACAACACAGGAGCAGCATATGGCATCAAGCCAATTAACTTATTACTTCACTTAACAACCACTACTGGTACATGAAGATTGACAAGCCTACTGAGGGCCTTTACTTAGAGTGTGTTTTTTATAGCATAATGGAATATGAAAAAAATGAAAAGTGGATATTTCTACTCATCTGGCAGGGGTGCTAGAAAATTTGAAAATTGTACACAATGATCCCAACCAAAGATAAACAAAATTTACCAAAAAATATTAACTCCATAAAACACAATTTTCTGCACCTGATATTATCATTTATCATCAGATCAATCTCTTTTGGTACTGAAGGTTTTAGATTTTGTGCAGAAATGGACTCACTTCAAAATATAAATAAATAAATAAATAAATAAATAAATTAATTAATTAATAATAGGCAGAGCAGACAGTGCTAGCTTGACTTAAGGATAGAGGAATAGACAATTTCACTCAGGTAGTACTGTAAAAACTGAAAATCCCGAAAAAGTATCTTGCAATTGCTCATCACATTTAGACTTAAAAAAAAAAGCGAATCAAAATGAAGACAGAAAATCCTGAAACCAGGCAAAATCCTAAAAACTTTCACCTATGTACTTTTATCAGAAAAACCAATATAATCGCAATTATACTTACTAGTCTATTATTTTTACTACTTTACTTATGAGCATTACAAGTGCAGTCCCATTTTTAAGACTAATATGTAACATTTTGTACATAACATAATATACAAATTGGGGGATATGTTTTTGGCAATTAACATTTAACATCCTATATGAAATAAGTTCTCGAAATCAAGTGAGGTATGATAATCAAGATGACATTTCACCCGACCTTTTGGTAGCTTATCCAGGAATTACCATCAATACTTATTGATTTCAAAATTAGCTAATTCTACATAAATCCCTTAACATATTTGTGAAGAAATAAAGCTGTAATGTTAAATTTCCAAATGTCTTGAGTACATTCTGGTAAGAATCATGAAAATAGCTCACCAAACTTGTTCACAAATGATGCGGAATAGTCCCATATCCCACAGTTCAGTCCGGCTGAGTGGTCTCTTAGCTCGTACAAGATTTCTTCCATCTCAAATGTGGCCAGGATGTTCTCAATGAGAACGCAGGCTTTAATGGTGCCATGCGGGAGACCAAGCTGAAGAAGTCAAACATTCACCGAAAAAGATCTCTCCCACATACATTTCAACTTCTTTGTGTGCCAATTTTACTATGTTTCTTACATTTTATTCTCATCTATTCATTTTTTTGTATTTCTGAAGAATGGCACCTCTTTCTCCCTCAATTAAAATATTTGCTATTATAAAACATTTAATAACCAAGATGTATTTTTATTTATCTTTGAACTTGAAAATATATCTTCACTTTTGGTATTATTTGGTAACAACTCTCTAGAATCTCTCGATCTCTCTCTCTCTTCTCTCTCTCTCTGGGTGTGGGTGGAGTTTGAATTGGAAAAAGGATTGTCTGTGAAACAAAAATTATTTTCAAATCCGTTTTGATTCTGCAATAGAATGCAGGAAATGAGGGAAATGGGGTAAATAACATGATAGTATTATCCTTCAACTCTCCCTATTATAAAATACCTTTTGTTCTGTCCAGGTAAATATTTTATCCCACAAACGAGCTTCCAAGAACCCCTCTACCTGAAAACAGTAAAAACTTCAACTGACAATATACAGATCAGTTTTCAACCCTGATATTTTGAAAAATCCAACAGCTTAATGTATGAAACATATTTAAGCAAAATGTACAAGGACTACTATGACAGTGTTAGTTTTGTTTGACACAAATCAGGACTTCCCACGTCTCTTTTAAATTGTCATGGAAATGCATCTGAAGAATATCTACAGTCACTGTTACCGTGTTGATATGAGCCATGGTGTTAATTATGGAAAGCTTTATTATAAAGAAGCTCAAGTGTCCCATCCCTCATTGCTAATATTTCACACAATTACCTTTAAATGAGCCCCTCTCCCTAAGAAAAATTATAACTCCAGTTGTGAAAAACTTAACGTAGTTTGTTTTGAGTACCTTGGACAAATAGAAGTATGGCCCACTTTCCATCTTAAACAGCCTCTGACCAACATGGAACATCAACAGCCCAAAGTCTACCAGGGGACCTGGGACCTCTTGACCTGCCACCTAGTGGATGCGTAATTTTTAATTAAAAAAAAAAAGAGAGTCAATTATCATTAAAATAAGTCCTAATTTTAATTAAAAACTCTTGAGGATTGCTCCCCACAAATATTTTGAATTCCACAGCCACTGAAATTAACTAGGCAAAATACAAAAAAGCATTTACTGTTAAGTACATATTCTGATCAAGATGCAATTAAGCTTTTTTTCTTTTTGCTTTTCAAGTCCTAAATTTAACTTATACCATATTAATTTGTACATCTAAACATTTGATTTTTGCATGATTTTTAACTACAAGTCACTCATGTATACTGATATTTTAAAAATCATAAAGTGGCAACTGTCTGATGAAAATCTTAATTATCCAAACATTTTACCAGGCTCATGATAAGTAAGTGAAATTTGTCTGAATGACATTTCCATACAACATTTTATTATAGGCTGAGATTGAGCATGCAGTAATACATAAATCCTGAAATAACATTTGTTACCAAAATACTGTGCTCCACCATGTTCCAAGCACGAGGTCTTAACATCAAAACTGGGGCTTTCTCAATACACGGAACATCTGGAAATAAGAGATTATTACATTTTTTTTCATTGGATAAACAAGAAAGAAGAAATCAAGTTACTACAAAACCTTGTTAATTACATAACATACAATGTCAAATATTTTTTATTTTGTTGAAATTTGATATTTTTTTTAAACTGCTTACAATTTAAACAGGGAACTGTTCTGAGTAAACCAAATACTTGGTTTCTGTACCTAAGGCTCTCATGTAAGACCCATTTTATTTTTCATCATAAGCAATTACTTTTCAACAAATCATCCAAATAAACACATTCAGGTATTATATCCATTCACTTCAACATGGTTTTCTTCCCCCAAATTTTCCTTAGTTCAGTAAAAAGAAATGCTGGTAATAAGATGTCACAGTGCGTTAACATATCCTAGTATGTAATTTCAGCAACTATCATTTGTGGTAAAAACTGGTTTATAATTTGATATTCACATCACATGTATATTTCTCTGAAAAACCCTTATTGAATTTTTTCCTTGTCTAAGTAACTGAGGTAGCCGCTAAATACAACTCAGATGTATCAGGTTTTTATAGGAAATGCTAGCGCAGGAAATTACTGGTTTCGACTCTGATCATAACTGACTTCAGATAAGATTTACAGGGAAATTGAAAATAAAGTTATCTGTTAGAAGTCAACTTTCATAAATCAGAACCACGGTCTTAAGAGGATGAGGAAACATGTGAAAACGTGAACACATGCAAAAACACATGCTGGAACACATGTGAAAGAGACTAGCACAAAACCCATGCAAGAACTTCAAATACTTAGGAAAACTTAAGAGCGCGAAACCCTGTGACAATTCAGTCATCTTCAACTCAAAATCAAATGCCAGTGTTGAACAATTTTTTTCTGTACGAAAAACCAATCCAAGGGGACACCAAATACAAACATGTATTTAGGCCTTCTTCTAAACCAGTCAGGAACCTTTAAGGAAACTCAAAGTAATCTCCTCCAACATGTTACAAAAAGCCTTCATTAGTTCTAGTACAGAAGATTAGAATGATAGTCTTTAAGTTAGTGTCTTCCATTTCAGAGAAATGCTTACACATCCCTTAAAGAAAAATCAGGCGATACCCTCATTTTCAGGCCTACCCAACTACCAGACTCGGCACCTAAGGATCCTGAATTAACCAGTATATCGGACCACACTACCCGTTTTCAAGGTGTGTGTCAGATCGCATTTCGGAGTATCAGCCAGAACACCGACAGGATGAGCCCTGGCATGCTCGGCTGTCACCTTGATTGGATAGTAAACGATTGTCGTAAAATCGCTATATGATTTTAAAACCGGGTGCATAATTTTGAAAGCCACCTAGATTAACCTTAGACTGCCACATTAATCTAATACAATGCAAAAAAGCCCTATCACAAGTGGTTAAAACATTCAAACCGAATGTCGTAAAGTCCCCATATATCCCCATAGAGACAATAAAATAGAGTACTCTTTAGAAAGTAAGAGTACAGTTTAAGGTTGTTCAGCCGAGCGTGGATGAGCCCGCAGTCGTGCTACAAAATTTGTTCTGGGGTATGATACTCCGAAATGCGATCTGACACACACCTTGAAAACGGGTAGCGTGGTCCGATATACGGGTTAATTCAGGATCCTTAGGTGCCGAGTCTGGTAG